ATTATTTTAAATTAAAAAAATGAGATGCTAATTTCTTATTAAAATTCATGAATTAAAAATTATTATTAAGTGGAACTCTTGTTAGAAACTTGTTATTGACTAATTATTTGCTGTATTCCTGATATTATTGCCTCAGCTGATTCGCAAAAAAACAACGACTGCGTTAGCTCAAAATTAAAGTTTGCACAGCTATAAAATTTGAAATACAACAAATAAATCGCACTTTAAAAATATGTACTTGTTTTTTAATCTCCTGCTTTTTTACTTTATGGCTGTGCTAATTTCACTCTAATCAGAACTGTGGAATTTTAATGTTGGATTAACTTTACACAGCATTAAGTTCTAATTAGAGGTCTCGCTTCGTTTTGGAGAGACAAGTTCTCTGTTATTTACATCAAGGGTTCTAAACAATTTATTTTAAATTTAAAAAAATGGAATGCTAACTTCTTATCAAAATTCATAAATTAAAAATTATCTATATAAAATTATATATATAATTATTAGGAATAATGGAATTCTTGTTATAAACTGTAGAGACCACTTCATCTGTTTAAAATAAAGCGGAAACTCTAATCAGAACTATAGAATTTTAATGTCAGGATGCGTGTAAAGTTAGCACCCCAACATTAAAATTCCATAGTTTTTATTAGATTTCCCGCTTCATTTTGAAGAGATGAAAAATGCTCTATAGTTTATAACAAGTGTTCTACTTAATAACAATATTTAATTTAATTTTAAATATAGGATGGTAACTACTTATCCAAATTAAAAAATTGTTATTAAATAGATTTCTTGTTATGAACTACAGGGAATTTTTTGTCTCTTCAAAATAAAGCGGGAACTGTAATCAGAACTTATGGACTTTTAATGTTGAAGTGCTAACTTCACACACGCAAAAAGTAAGAAGTTTACAAGACTCTGTTGCTAATGCCTATTAGTTGAAATGAAAAAAAGCATGACATGCATAAAATTAATAGGAGTGAACGATTAGCGTGACATTTGAAGAATTCTAATCTCCACATCGCAGACGCCGAGTCGCCTGTTGACTTAATCGATTCATATCGATTTACATAATATTTTATGTCACGAGAAACGTTTCACTCGAAAGGGCGAGCGGATCTGAATCGCAAGAGGTGAAACGAAAGTACTCCCGTTTCAATTTACGTTACTGTCTATCTGTTTCCTTCTCGTTATCGCCAACTCGACGGTCAAAGAAATTCGTGCCGGCGGGTGGTCTCTCTTGATATACGAGCGCCGATCGAAATACGTCACGTGATAATCTACGTTCCGGACTTGATAAGTTCGAAACTGTCCGACACGCACATGTACTCTCGATACGCTCTCGACCTTTGGCCTGGCGTTTACGCCACGCACGTGATTTGCGAATTTCGCACGAGTGAGGGAAGAGCAATCCGCTCAGTCAGTGATACGCCCTGTGAGTCAGTCTGCCTCGTCGTCGCGGGACGTCATTTTATCTTCAATTCGGGTGCAACGGTCTTTATCGGCCGGTTTAATGAACGTGCGGTGTGAAAATCGCGCGAACAATCTACTGTGCGCGAGCAGAGGAAATTTACAAACGAGATGAGGAAGGAATGCAAAAATCTTGTAACGAAATGCTCTTTCATGAATTCGTATTTTTGTGTAATTAGCTTTCGAGCGATTTAGAGCATTTTTATATACATATATGAGCTGTTGCTATTTTTTTCAGCGGAATTTTTTCTCGGCAGAACGAGATATACGAGATATTAAAAAATCTGAGAAAAAATGTTGACGTTTATCTCTATTTGCTACGATATATTATCGATCCTGATGGTGAATGGTTTGGACGAACTCATTAAAAAGCTCGGCTTCTATTCTGAAAATCATTAAACTTTGCTTCGCTTCCGTCAAGATCGACACTGCCATTCGCAAACGAACTTACGCGAGAAAAAGACAATTAATGAATGTCTCCTCAATACGATTCTTTCTTTTCTCTTATTTCCGGCATTCGGCGTCTTTCATAACTTCATCGGCACGAATTCACTTTCAAACTTTAAGATACAATAACAGATACATACTTAATATTCATTCATTAACTTACATAATTTTACATAAAGGTACTATTTTATTCAGAGATTCCACAAATTCTTTATTTTTTTTGTCAATTGATATATTTGAAAAATTTGTCATACGACAAATAAAATAGTACTCTTGCGCTAGAATTTGTCAGACGCGGCCTTTTCGGACATTTAAAACGGAGCCTATATGCGCTCGGTTTTTTTTTACAATCAGCTGTTTGTTATCATTTGACGACGTCGAACTGAAGGCGCACATGCGGAGCTCTCGTTCGGATTCCCTCGTGACATCGCGAGGACACGTAAAAATATTATATATCGTGCGGCAAAAAGTGCGCCTCGGCCGCCGGCACTCTATCGATTGAGCTATGAGATTAGCCAGCGTGAGCTATACATATTTTGATATTTATAGCGACATTTCCTCGAAAACCCGAGGCTCCGCAGTTTCCGTTCACCTTCCTTCTTTCCTGCCTCTGTCTTTCGACTTCTCTCTCGTTCTGTATATCGTTCTACCTTGAGTATAAACGCCCGGAGCGCGAGAAAGCGCGATTGAAGCACTTGCGGATCTAGAGACTCCAAACACACGAGAGAAAGAGAGAGAGAGAGAGAGAGAGAGAGAGAGAGAGACGCCAATTGAAGGCGACTCCGACTAACCTAGTCGGCGGTTAATTCAACCGCAGAATCGCTCGAAGTGGATTTCATCGTGTATTCTAACCGAGATGTAACTCGATCGTTAGCCATAGACTTAACCTATCCTCAACACGCGCGAAGCTTAATAATTCTACCTCAAAGTGTCAAAAGTGTTAAGCGATCAATCGGAGTTTGATCGAAAATCGACGCGACTACGCGCGTCGATCCGTCACGCCGTGGAACAAAGCTGTATCAGCTGAGTAAAGAGAACACGTGTCGGTCATTGTCGACGGAGCGCGTCGCGTGAACGGAAATGAACCTGTGTCCTCCCCGCGACCTCCCCCTCGCGTTCGTCCCCGCGATTCGCGGCTAACGTTCACCAGCTCGCACTTCGCTCCCTCCGCGGGCGTCATTACTCATTACTACGACAATCCGCTCCAACTTCAGACTGACAATTACTGCGATCATTACGCGGAATTTGAACTCGCGCGCGTGCACGCGTCGCGGATCATGTTCCTCTTCCCCTTCCCCCACGCCCCCCTTTCTCTCTTTATCTCTGCGAAACTGTTACGTGCAGTTACGTGCTTCCAAGCATGATATACACATTACACGCGACGTACGTACATACCTTGAAAACGTCAAGCTCACGCTATGGCGTCCACGAATGCGTTCCACGTCCGGTTGGCGAATTAAGGGCCGCGACCGCGGGGGGAGGGGGGGAAGTGTCGATCACTTTTCGTTTTACCTCGGTGAAGCACAAGACCTCGTCACACAAAGCGCAGCGGGTTATCGTTCGCGCTATCGATTCGCTCGCGACTCCGTTCGCGACGACCGTTTTACCGTAAGACGGAGCGCGCGCGCGCGCGCGCGTTCGCGCTCGACGAGGAGCCAGGCTCGAGAAACCGGCGAGCGAGCGGCAACGAGAACGAGACGAGACGAGAGTGTCGGCGGCCCATCAACGGCGAACGCGAACGACACGAAATTAACCCACGAACGGATGGATGGACGGACGAACGGCGCGGTCGGCGGGTGCCACGCACTCGTTGTGTGCACGCTCGGGGACGCGGCGCGACGCGACGGCGGACACGCGACACGACACGACCTATACCGCGCGGCGGACGGCTGCAGACTGAATACGATCGGCCGGGGCGCCCGGGGGGCGGGCGGCGCGCGTATTGCCGCGCAAATACGAAGCGCGCGCGGGACCGGATCGCGAAGCGCGGCGCGCGCGACGCGCCTCTAAGGGCTCTAAGGGACGCGTCCTCTCCTGGCCCTTGTCCCTTTAACACGGCACGTGCGTACGATCTCTTCTTATAGTGCTCTCTCGCGAGATACTTAGTTACTCGAGGGAGAGAGTTACGATTCGCGATTGGCGAGACGCGAAATCACTTCCGCGACGAAACCTTCGCGAGGCGGAACGAACGGAGAGGAGAAACATGGGAAATCGACTGTCAAAATTTTGAACTTTCCCGAATGGATCGAAAGAGAGGATAGAGTTGAAGATAGGCGAATTATGTATCAATATTTCTCTATTTTTTTTCTGTAAAAAAAAAATCTTATATCGAGCGATAGAAAATTAATTAGATGCGATTCAAATTTGAAAGCGCGTTTCTATAGATTATTGGACGATTCGAAAATATTCTGACGTGTAATTGATTAATAATGGATCTGAAGTTGTATATAATATGGGCGATCATTTTGAACAAAATGTTGGAATGTAACAATTCGAAATAAAAATAAATATAACGGAAAAATAAATATTTAACGCAATCATTAGATTGTTCATAATATAATTACATACATAAAGGGAAAATCTTTCCTTATACATATATTATATATGCAAAAAGAAAAAGGTACAAGATGACAGGTACAAGATCGCAATCAATGAATCCAACATTTTATTCAGCAATAATACGAACACGATGAAAAAATTGGCCGTCTCACGACGTAATATTTTTGCAATCGGCTTATAATACACCTCGAGCATCCGTCTACAAGTCTTTTCTTTCTCGAACGACGCGGACTGTCGAAGATTCGATAAATTCTAAGGGGGGTCGTAAAAAGTCGTAGGGACGAAATTTTAAGGGTGTAAAGCGAAAGAGCGCTGCGTTCGACAGATGGTATTTTAATTCGTTTGCACCCTAGCCGGTAAGATCTTCAAAAATACATTTACATCTTTTCTCTTCACAGGACAACGAATGCATCGCGCTCGTGGAGCAGCCCGATGCGTTCTTGATCCGCGCGAGAACGAGAAGAACGACGAAGTCTGGATTTGGATTTTAGAAAACCATTTAAAAATCTTTAGAACGGCTAAAATCGCGTTAGATCGCGTGCGACAATCTTAAGATATATTTACACTTCGGATTACAATATATTGTACATGAGAGTGCTACGCTTCTACGAGCGACGTTAATAAAAGAGCTCGCATCCTGAAAATAAACGTTACTTTCATCCCTGACGTTTAATATTTTTAGTTCCGTAATGTTTTTTTTTTCTCTTTCGCTCTCTCACTCTATCTCTCATCGAACATCGAAAGTCTGCACATTATCGTCTATATAATTTAATGAACACATTTGAAATACACCGATCCATCGTGGGCGAAAATCTGCAAGTCCATCTCGCGTGCGAATCACGTTGACTTTATCACGGAACTTCTCGAGCTTTTTCTTTGCCGCGTTTAACGCGGCATTTAAACGATGCACGAAGTGAACGTTACGGCGCTATCGCGGCCGGTCGAGACGATTAAATTTAATGAAGACGAGCAGAGACATTAAATAAAATACACGACTCACAAAATTGAAGATAAACACTCTGTAAAAAAATATATGTATGTATATGTGTCTATGCATGTGGTATACATATATATCATTTTGCATAATCCTGTAAGACCCCTGTGTGTACGGAGCGTGTACACACGGATACTTACAAACTCGTCAAACAAATGCGCTAAATTATAGAAGCAACCGTGTAGCTTGAATTTGTTTGTTCACGAACGCGAGACGAAGCAACGTTACTTTTATAAGACAACGAAAGCGAGTATTGCAAAACTTATTTAAAGCATGTAGAGTTTTGAGAAGGCGTCGTATGTAAAACGTCCTTCTACTCTTGCAAGTAATCGAGGCAAAGTAAGTCCGAGCATTGCACTTGCCTTTTCATCTTTTCCTTTGGTGTAATATCTTGTACGAAGAAGCAATATATACTAGTACAAAAGTAATTCGTTTAATATGTTACTATACAATGTTTCTAGATTTTTAAAATTTATCATATTATAATTTACATATTATAACATAATAATTTATTATGATATACATCGTCAGTATAGTAAATATTAAAAGAAATAATTTGTACTGACAAACATATCACTTCTTGGTATCAAGTTGTTACAAGAAAAGCGGACGTGAAAATAGCAACTGTCTTGCTCTCTTGTCACTGCTACATCGTCATCCACATGTATTCAATGTGCAGGCATAGCGTGCAAAATTTAACTGACATCACCAATATTGAGAATTTGATACGCACGTTAGACGTGGTTACAAATCTCAAGTAATTTGCTTGCCACACGTTTAAACAACTTATAAATTGCGCAGTGTTAATAAGATAAATATAATTACTATTACCTATCACAATCTATGTTAGTAGAAAGTACATCGTTCGGGGTTAATTTTAACGTATGCGCGTAGTAAGTTATTAAGTGGAAAACACCTCGTCTCGAGATTTCCTTCGTTTTTTCACAAACAAAGTTGTCAATTACTCCTAAACATCAAACAATTCTAACTTATTAAGTATAAAAGTGATTTACAATTACAAATTTCTCTTTCAGGGGACTATAGCTCTCCCAGGATTTTACGCTTTTATGTGTTATCTCGCATTTTGTATCATAGGAAACAGGTACAACGTGTGTGTGTGTGTGTGTGTGTGTGTGTATTAGGTAACTCAATTTCCTGTGTGATACAACAATCGATAATATCCCTTACGCTACTTCGCTTAGTACTCCATAACGATCAAAATACATCTTACCACATACTTGTAAGTGACATATAAAATGTTTTACTGGCAGATATCTCATTCTCTTTTTTTTTTGCTTTTATAAGTATGTAAAAAACTAAATCAGTATCCTACAGCCTCTTTTTCTGTACAAACTAAATGGCAAATTGCTAACTGAACTGCTACATGTAACATCAAACAAATTGCGTAAAAAATTATACTGAAGCCGTTGCAAGTGTATTCCTGTGATAATAATATTAATAATGACAATCTCTGCGTCAGACATCGCTTGTAATCCTTTTTCTCTTGCGTTTTCTTACGACAAAACAAAGTAAAAATTACAATATCTAATTTATTACTGAAAACATAGTGAAATACATTGAAAAAAGAGCATGTGGCAATTTCAGATATGGAGTTAGATTGTCAGTTAATACTTCGGGAATCGATTAAACTACTATTGCAGTTGTCGCATGCGAGAGAGAATACCATGCTATAGTCATATCAAAATGAAGAGCTGTATTACGACAATCGGGATTAGAAGGTATGCAGCAGATAATTGCTAACTGCGTATTCTAAAAAATGCAAAAATATGTAACGCACGTGAAATTCTCTGCGTTCTTAACAATGGACGGTGAAGTATTTACTTACTACTCACTAAAAAAAAAAAAAACAAACAGTGTATTATACTTTAAAACTAAATCATCGTTAAATTTGTTGATCTACTATTGTTGTCTACTATTAGTCATAAATTAAATCATGATCTTCTTGAAGTAACGAAAAAAAAATTATAAGATACAGATTTTTCTTCCAAATCGTTGTCAACTGAATTACTACTCTGAGTCATCACATAAAGCATTAGTAACCTATCATTACAATATAAATATCGTCTTACTGAAATATCGAGATATCAAAAGTTGTTATATATATACGTATATATATATGTTTATATATTTATATATATATATAACATATTCGCCTAAAATTAAACACGACGTAGTAATAAATATAAGTATCTCTTAAAAAAATGACGCTGATCTTTACAACTAATTCGCTTTTTTTTGTAAGGTGTGCATCACCTTGATGGAAAATTTCTTATATTTACATAGTAATGTACAACTATATGGTTTTATACACAAGTGAAGAATGACGTGATGTTCTTCCTTCTTCTTTCATGATATTAATTTTATCTAGTGCATCATTTTATGAAGTTTCAGGATCTTTCCCAAACGCTGCTTCGCCGTTTTCATTCCCTTCTTCGGCTTCCGTTCTGGATTTTATTCACAATTTTATTCAATTATCAAACAATTCAGCAAATCTTTAAAGTAAAAGAAAAGGGAAATGCTTAGGTAATAAAAAATCGATACTTTACCAACTGGAACGGGTGCTGCAAGTTTGGCTTTGACATCCTTAAGTCTGTTGGGGCTTGTCAGTATCGACCCGAATCCGGTGGATGGTTTTATAACATTTTCAGAAGGTGCGGTGGACGCAGCTGTAGTTCCTACTGCGGGGACCACTGCAGGTTCCTTTTGTTTCTTTTTATTGTATGTCCGCTTGTTGGTGCCCTATTACACGCACAAAATATAATTTACATCATTATTGCAAACTCCTTTTCGCAACAATAACATAATCCCCTCAAAAAAATATAAAAAAATTGATGAATACAGAAAGAAAGATATATAGAGTGCCCACACGCATCACCAGAACAGAGATGCTTAAATATTTCTGGTGATCCAATATCTATAAATTAATGGTGACAAATAACAGCTGGCGGTCACTACATGTACAATGTGCAATGAAAAGAAAGTGGAGGCTAATAATAAATGATAACTAAAATAAAAAAAGAGACATAAGTCGCAAAATCAAGATTGTAATTATAACATATGTACAATTGGAAAGCTACAGAAAAGTATAATACTACAGAATTTTATGTCAAAATTGCAGAGATCGAAATATGCCTACCAATTTCTTCTTGGTAACCTTGTCCATGTCGTTATCCAGGTATTCATCCTAAATGTGAAATGTATATGCAAGAAACACGGAATTATGGTATATTTAAGAAAAATTGTGAGTAATAAAACATTTATTAAAATGGCAAGTGGAACGATGTGAAAAAGCATTACACACATCAGATACATTATTCGTTACAAACAGACGCATTTAACTGCGTACCGGATTAGTATATTTCGGGATATTTAATGAAGCCCAATTATTTGCATTATTTGTTTGGATTTTGTGAAATGTATAATCATGTGCGAGAAATCAAAAATAATATAGAACAACATAATAAGGGTCTCACCGATTGTTTCGCTCGCTTCGCCGCGGCCGCTTCCAGACCCTTTTCCACAGACGTTTTCTTCGCGCCTTCCCGTGCCGGCCGATTCGTCTTTGGTAAAAGAGGGCCCACTCTAGCTTTCGGATTCCACGCTTCGTCGATTTGACTCTTTGCCTTGGGCTTAAATATATAATCCTCGTCGTCAGAAGCGTCTAAAGCTGGATAAACTGTAAACAGCATAAATTTAGTGGTTGTGCATCGCGAAGAAAATATCAATAAGATATATATATATTTTTTTACTAAATACGTACTAAAATCGTCGTCTTGGTGAACCTTGTCGATATTTTCTATCAACTGATCGTCATCCTCGTCATTTTGTTGGCTCTTAACAGGTCTCTTTGACGATTTCGCAGAACTACTCGTTGTCGAGTAACTCTGCTGGCTGAACGACAACATCCCAGCGATCGCCTCCCGTGTGGACGGTGACGCCCTGTCGGAACTGACCGTTTTCAATTTATAAATACTAAGACATCAAGAAATCAAATTTCATTCCTCTGTACGGCTTAAAGCTACAAAAATCTTTAAGCATCACAAAAATTTTAATTAGACTTCTTGCATGCTCGAGGAAGAACCGATGTATCTGCATTCATTCTATTATATATCAATTCCATACCATTTAAATTTCGCGATTATTTCGAATAAACAAAACATTTAGAGAAGTTTGTAAAGTATATAATAGCCAAGTTACAATAACCACTTATTTGAAAGTTCACCGAAACCTTTCATTAGCCACTACGCCTCGGAGAGAGAAAGAGAGAAAGAGAGAGATTAAATGGGAAAGTTTCGAGAGATGCACGACAACTACGAGATCTCAAACACGAAGATCAGATGCCATGGCAAATTAACTTACCCAGTGGGCGGCGGCATAGGTTGACTGTACTGTGGAATCGTGGCCGATGGCCTGAAATTATTTTTCGTTACAACCACACGTAAATCGCGTATAGTTTAACGTCGATTATATATACGCACCCAGTAAACGAAAATAAATTGAAATATTTTTTTTTTATTTTATTGAAATGGATTGAAATTTTCTAAGCCATGGATTGAAATGGATTAATCTTTATAGAAATGCATTCATTTCCACGAAGATCAATCCACTTCATTTTAATCCATGATTTGAAATTTCAATCCATTTCCGTTTAATGGGCATATCTGAATTTATACGTACGTGACATCAACCCTTGGCGCGCCATTCCCGAGGGTGTACGCCGACGCTTTCAACAGCTCCTCTATGCCGTTCTTCGGCGCGTTGTTGAGCACGTCGACGTCGCCGTCGTAGTCGCGCTTGAGCCGCTTCGAACGCGGCGCCCGTTTCCGTTTCTGCGACTCGTCGATCACGAGGCCGTAGTCGCTCTCGTTGCTGCCGTCGTGAAAATCGTACACGGACGACGACTGACTCCACGACAGCGGCTCCTTCGTCGTCTCGAGGGAGTGGCCGGTCACGACGTTGCTGCCGTAAACGTTTATATTGTCGTTTGTACTTCTGACAACCTCGTTGTTGCCGAGCTTAAATCTAATCACGGTAGGGCTCTGCTTCCCCGGCTTGGACAGCTGCCGCTTATTACCCGCGGCGGGTGTTTTCACCGCCGCGGGCGTTTTAACCACCGGACACATGATCGGCTTCGGCAACGTGAGCTTCAACGTGAGCGGCTTCGCCGACTGCTCGATCAACGCCGGCTGCACTTTGCTCGTTTGCTTCGGCGTCATTTTATTCGTCTCCTTCAACGTCGACTTACTCGTCACTTTATTCGTCTCCTTCAACGTCGCTTTGTTCATTTCTTTCAGCATGGCTTTATTCGCTTTGAAAGCGCTATCGGCTATCCTGTCGGCGTAATCGAAATCCACAAAGTCCTTGTTCAACGGCTTCCTCTTCTTCCGTTTACTCTCGCGCTCCGGTTTCGGCGGATTCAGGGATATTAAGTACCGTTCCGCGTGACGTATCTCCTTACTGAGATCCTTCAATAATTTCTGACTGTTTATCGTGTCCGGTATCTGACCGCGGCTGATCATGTTGTACTGTAATTGAATAATTTAAACATTCGCTTGTAATCTCCGAGTTTTCGTATCTTGAAACTGAAATCGCGTATAAGCAGTCTTAACTCACGTCCTTGTCCGTGTTCCACTGTTTGAGGATCCCAAGCAACGCCTTCACACCTTGCAAAAAATACGACGGACACTTCTTCCCCTCGTTATTTAAATCTTTCAGCTCTTTTAACAATTTCTTAGCCGCGAACCAATTGATTGTCTCAAATCCGGGATACTGAAACTTTGCTGGAGTCTTCATCTTTCTCTCTAACTCGTATATTCTAAAACACGATACAATTTTATTACAAAACAAATAATAAATTTCTCAACTAAATGACGTACAGTCGTGGACATATCGGTTGCAACACCTTTTTTTCATAGGTTTTTTGGTATATATTTAATATATACAATATATATTTTATAAGTCACTAATATTTTGCAAATGCAAAACACGATAGTATACTATTTTTAATTTAAAGACAGTACACCAATCGCATTTGCAAAATATTAGTGCGTTTCGAAACCTATTAAAAAAAAAGTGTCGCAACCGACATGCCTACGACTGTACAATAAAGTTTCCTCGACTCACTGTATCTGCATCTGGATGTTGAGGCTGTGCACGAAATTGCCGCCGAAAACCAAGGAATCCACCGGCGTGAGCACCGCGTGTATCCAGCCGGTGGGGATCATCATCGTCTGGCCCTGCTTGAGCACGCACTTGTAACACGCGTCGGCCTGATCCCCGAAGAAAGTTTCGCTCTGCGTGGAGCTGCACATCCACTGCTGGTACAGCTGCAAATTCGCCGGCGTCGGCTTGACGAGATAGAACACTTTCTCGCCGCGCAGCACGTGGTACCAGACGGACGTGCCGCCGAAATCGATATGAAAATCTGTGAAACTATCTTTCACCCCCATTAGGCAATACTTTTGTACTTCCGGCCGCTTTATATCACTGTCCTCGGGCCAATCGCGCGGCCACACCGAATTAACCCAGTCGAGTTTCCGCGCGATGTACGGCGCTTCAACCAGTGGCGAGAGACTGCAATTGCATTTCATTTATCAAATTATACACGTGTATATATCCTACGAGAACAATTTACAAAGCCACATATGTATATATGGCAAGGCAATGAATATTATGGTATACCCAGTGTTAGAAAATTCAAGACTTATGACATTGAACACTCTTGTTCGGACAGGGGAATTGTAATATTCTACAAAGTCTCGTAATTTCATACGTATGTTACTTTGTCTCATAACATCGATCACATCCATGTCCCGATCACCATCTGAGAACAATACAAGTTGCGTCAGTCTCTACGTAATGAAGATATTATATAAATAGAGTATTAATAAATTTCAAAGTATACTTTCACGCCGTATAATCTCACCTATGTAAGTCTCGACATCGGAAACACTGAAGCTCGCAGGTGGTACGGTCATGTCAAGTCCATCCTTCCCATCGACAATGATGGGGGTTTCGAAACCGTTCACTTGTAAATACTGAAAAGTCAACTGGTAGCCCTTCACGTGCTTCACAACCTCGTCGGCTTTGGGAAAGTGTCTAGACTTCAGCTCTCGTATGAATACTGACGTGCCGGTTTGAACCGGCTTGGTTTCCGCGTCGAGTTCGGTGTAATCGTGCCGGTGCCAATTCGTTTGTTTCTTCACTGTAAAACAGAGCGGAGCATTAACGACACGGCGAGTTTCAATGAACGTGTAAATATGTGTGTGTATGTGTGTGGATGTGTGTGAAATATTTAACGAATTAGTGATCTTACTGAGCGAAGAACCACACGTGGTTTCGCATCGCGGACAGTGGTACTTGTCGACGTCTATACTCTTGTACTCCTGCAAGTTCACGCACCTGAAACGAGACAACACCAACATTGACACGTTACACAGGCGTAGACGACGCCGATTGTCGCACATGACGCAAAGATCAACGAATCGCACGTGCGTACACCTGGCGTGGGGCACTTTAATCGCGGGCCGCGGGCGAGACACCTCCTCCCCGTCGATGCTCCCCGATGATCGTTCGCAGACGCGTCGCGTCGCGTGTGCGCTGCGAGACGCGAACGCCATACGCGGCGCGGGCGACGCGCGGTGTAGGTTATGTTGCCGTCAACAAAGCATCGTCGTTCGCGGCGCAACGCCGGGCCGAGGCCGCGCGTCGCGTCGAATTCATCGCGCGCGTGATGATTCCGGGCGGGCGACTCCGCCCGCGAGGAAAATCGGGCGGGGGAGAGGAACGCGTCGCGCGTTCCTCGGACGCGGGCCGCGCTCCTCTCCCGTCGACGCGTATCCTCGACGCGCTCCAATTTCTTACCCGCCGTGGTACCACTCCTTGCACACGTCGCACTGTATCATGAACTGGTGGTGATCGTACGGGCGGCCGCAGATGCAGTACGTGACCAACGGCTCCATTTCCTCGGCGGTGTCGGTCGTCAGTATCGGACGCAGCAGCTCCCGTTCCAGCACGGTTCCTCCGTCGACAACGGCGGCGGCGGCGGCGGCGGCGGAGGAGGAGGTGGTGGTGGTGGCATGATGGTGCACGGCGCGCGGGCGACGGGCGAAGCGTCGGGGCGTCGCGTCGCGCGAAGAGAAATGGCGCCCGCCGGGCGCGAGCGGGCCAATCGGTGCACACCCACCGTACGTGGGCGCGAAGTTGGAACGCGAGTGTCACGTCGGTTCATTCGCAGCGATCGCATCTCGAGTGTAATCTCTTCCCCGTAAGCGTAGGCTGGATTCTTTTCTCTCTCCCTTCGTTGGTCTTTCCTCTCTTTTTTTTTCTCCGCTCCAACGTTTAATTGTACATACATTAATTTTTTAAGCGCAGAAAACGCGAGCGCGATGCAGCAACGAAGAGAGCTATTTATATTTTTAGGTTGGGGAAACCTTCAAAAGACAGACCCTCCCACCCCTCCCTCCCCCCGTCGGTCGCGAATGACCCGAAGTGACACAGTGATGACCCGCCGGGTTTCGCGACTCGCCGCGGTGTAGTGTGATTTTTATTTTTTTTTTTTTTACCCACTAACCCCCATCGCGATCGCCCTTCTGTGCAAGGGTGGCGAGGACACCGGGAGTTCTCTTCGTCGAATACTCGATATACTACGTCGGCAACCTTGGAAATTATCGGACTCGCCACCGTCTGTTGCTGGCGACACTAGACTAGACCTTCAGCCTCGTTTACAATCGAAGTGTTTACGAAAGAGTGTCGTGGCGCCGTCCGTCGTGGGATGAGAATACACGTGCAAAGTAGTGAGACTTTTACGGAGGTTGGAATATTTGCAAAAATCTGTAATCACAACAATAGATAGTTATTTTAACAATAGATGTTATTTTATATCCATCCTGTACATATTTGTTTTTAGCAATGAAGACACGTCGCAGCGGGCGGGCAAAGAAAGAAAGACTCAAATCCCAATCAAAACCGAAATCAAAATCGAAATCAAAACCGAAGGAGATTAAAACGTGAGCGAAATAATTTGAGATTCGAAACGTAGACATTTATTTGTTTACGTGGCTCTTGGAGCGATTTGATGAAACTTTCGATTAACTTGGCTGGCGAGAAATTATTTAAAACGAAATTTCTACGCTAAATTTCTTTCTCTTAATAATTTCTGATTGTATACACTTGCATCTGTCGTACTTAATCTAATCCTTTTAACATATGTTAAACAAAAAATTAAGACTTCATACAAAACAGGTTTACTTGGCAAGTCGACTACTGATTAAATTAATTGGAGTTTGGTCGAAGTTATAACAATAATGTGGTATTGCATAAAATATCGCTGTTATATCATTTAGTTAATATTGTTATTATGTTTTTAGTTCCAAAAAACAGACGACGAAGATTCTCAAGGCATACCGTGACACTTATAGCATGTTCAGTTGCAAGGACACCGCTGTAAATTTGGTAGATGATGCCTGTGGTAATGATATTCAGATCGTTCCTTCGACGAGCGAGCCAGCCTATTCTCCCATAGAGAGACCAGCCACACAGGCCAGTCTTAAACGTAAAAAGAAACCCTGCGACAATCAAGGGAGTGTTAACGAAACTTCTGACAATTCATGTAAGAAATGTAGAGTTTACTTTTGTTCCCATTTACGTCACACTGCTAATTCATTTTTACATGCGCTTTACATAATTAGTATCTTTTGTCAATAGCCTTAAGTTTGTAATCATTTGAATTTCAGATTTCATGAATGATTCCACGGAATGGGACAGTCCCGAGCAGCAGATAAACGAAACAATTAACAATAATTGGAAGGTAAATGATTCAGAGGATGAGGTGCAAGGAGATTCGGATGACGATTCGACTCAAGTTGCTCCTAAGGAGAAAAGGAATTTAGGCTCGCCCCTTGTGATCGACATGCTCATGGACGGTGTCACTTCGATAGATCTGCCGCAGATATTTGAACACGAACAAGGGACAAGATTGGGCAAGGAAACGACTTGCGACGACGCCTTCGAGTTAAATGCATTGTTCAATAAGGATATCGAGTTCATAAATTCCAAGTACAACACTCACATACAAGTTACGCGTCTGAAGCAGGCGTCACTTGTGCCATCGAATTCGACTAAAAATGATGCGAGCGAAGAGGCTAGTGACGACAGATTGAAAGACATTAGTGCCGATAATAGCAGTCCTACCAGAAGTCCTACGTCCAGAGAACTCGCAGGCGGAAGCCCCAGAAAATCGGTAGATCGTGATAGCGAACCAGGAGCACAAAGTCTCAGGCACAAACACGTTGGCTCGCGTCGACGTGGGTGTAAGCGGAAATCGCCAAAGTTTTACTGCATAAGGAACATCGTCATCGTCATAATGGAAAGTGGCGGTAGATTCTGCTTCACCGGCAAGCTGTTGGTGAAAGTGCTGTACGGCGCTGCGAAAATTTACGGTTCCGTGCTGGACAAGTCGACCGGCGCCACGGAGGTGTACTCGCCGCGTGGCTACAGTAACGTCGTCATAGAGACGGGCGAGGAGTTCCCGGAGGGTAGCGTCGACGACGTATGGACGGCGCTCGGCACTGAGAGTGTCACGCGAGACTCGGAGAGCCAACTGCGGGACGACGTCGACAGCGTCCGGCCGGGCGCGGCCGTCCTCGTGCTGCAGGACTTCGAGAACAATCTGACGCTCTTTCTGAAGACCCACTTCCGGCACTTCAGACTGTTCCCGAGCGTGAAGAATCCCTCCTACTTCGCGTGGACGGACCGCAAGCGGGCCGAGATAGTGCTGCAGGCGAATCTGCATGTCGAGCAGCTGCCCGACGATTTCAAATGCCGACGGCTGATCACCGATCCCTGCATCACCGCGGACATCGCGGGGCGGATGCTGAGTCGCTGGCGCGCGAACGAGTGGTCCTGCACGCTGATCGCCGGCGGCAAGGACGTCGGCAAGTCCACCAGCGCGCGATGCCTGATCAACAGCCTGTTGCGCACGTCCGGGAAGGCGGTGCTGGTGGACGTGGATCCCGGACAGGCGGAGTGCACGCCGCCCGGCTGCCTCTCGTACACCCTGATCGAGGAGCCGCTGATGGGGCCGAATTTCACACATCTGAGGCCACCGGTTTACCAGCTGTTCATCGACGACGTGAACGTCAGCCGTTGCGTCACGCGTTACCTGGAGGGCGTGAAGATGTTGATCGAGAAACTGAGGGAGTGCCCCGTCCTGTCTCGCTTGCCTATCGTAGTGAACACGATGGGTTTCGCGCGCAGCATCGGTTGGGACATCGCGATCTCCACGATAAAACTGATCAGGCCGACGATCGTCCTGCAGATTATGTCGTCGAAGAGGAAGAACAACTACGTCGACGTTCTCAGCGCGGTAGTTGTAAATAACCAGGTAAACGCACATCGACTTCTTCGATAATAAAGTTTTAACGTTGCCGAACGATCGATTCCTGAAAAAGAGACATTTAAACAGGAATGCTCGTGGACGTTCTGCGACGAGAGCTTTATCAATTGGGACAGACCGTGCGAGCACGATTTGTGCGTAATCTACTCCCAGGCGGAGGCCGCCGTCGCGCGGAGGAGCCAGTGGAACATGGAGCCGTATCAGCAACGTGAGCTCGTGATGATGTCTTATCTGAGCGGCATCGTCGATGACAAAAATGATTCCCTGTAAGCTCTGCCCTACATTGTTTTCACGTTTTATGCAATTTTCTATAGTTTTAATTTCAACCGTTATTTCCAGCCAGTACAACACAGGACTTTCACTTAGCATTAACGAAGCGGTGCCGTTTACGTCAGTATCCTGTATCCTATTGACGCATGATTAAATAACAGACTGACCTGTGAATATCTTGATATGTATTTTTACAGGGCGCCCTTCTCCTCCCTGTGCATTATACCCCAACGATTATTCGGAGTACCCGCGTCACGTGCTTTAAGTGTCATAAACGGTAACATCGTAGCGCTATGCGGTGTAGATTTAACGGGGGAGTCTTCGGAAACGTCCAAAGACATCTCCAGTCTTCGAGTACTGACGCAGAGATCTCCCTTGTGCACATGCTACGGATTCGGTGAGTACCGATAGACCTTTTGCACGAACTTTATCACTGACAGACATTTTCGATTATTTTTTTTTTGTTTTTTAAATGAATACACAGTGAGAACATATACAGATATCTAAAGGAATATTCATGAACACGTGTGTTATGTACTATTGCGTAGGAATAATTCGAGGTGTCGACATGGAACGACAGGAAGTGTACATAAATACTCCGTTGCCGATATCGATCATGCAGCACGTTAACTGCTTGGCGGGCTGTATTCCGGTTCCTCCGTCATTGTTGCAATTGCATCAAGGCGCTCCGTACGTTGGTGAAGATGCAGCATTACCAACGAGTCGCAAACCCCGCAGAGGATACTTCCGAATGAGATACCAAAATAAGCCGAGTAAATCATAATGAATCTTATTATATACGCCATGTGTGGTACAATTTTTTATAAATAATAATTACCTCTCAAACACTCGGAAGAGCATTTAACAAATGTATCATACTTGCAGAGGTAATTTATGTTACATGATTAATAATTATATTATTCCATTTTAAATCAAGCGTTCAAAAGGAAATAACTATATATTAATTTAAATTAATTTCAATACATATTCCTGTATATGTATATTTATATTAATTTAAATTAATTCCAATAATTAATTAGATAATTGTTTTGGAAAGAGATCAAATATACATGTAGATTTTCAAAACGCTTTTTAAAATGAAATAAAATAATTGTAATATATATATATATATATATATATAATGCGATCATTAATTATATGTCCACATCTCAGGAATATGAATTTATCTGAAAGAAAAAGAGGTATATAATTAATAAAGCTTAAACGACCAAGGTGTTTAAGCATCCTTTTCTTGTTTTCATCATTAAACTATTAATTGATATGATTAAGAATAGAACATCAAGATAATAATTGACATATAATTAAAAATCATGCTGTATATATTTGATAAAAAGATAACGGATGATTTACAATTTAATATCTGTATAAAGATTCATTATATATTTAGTTATCGACAAGGAACAATCATTCAATCTGTCTAAATCTGTAAGAAATAAAAAAAATTTAGATATATATATAAAATTAGTTTGTTCTAAAAATAGCAAGATAAAAAAATTATCTGTATTTTTTTTACTGATTCGATTATGCACTAATTGATCGCGATATAAAAATTTTACTAGATCGAATCTTAAAAAACATCTATCGCGATAAAAAGATAAAAAAATGTCCTAAGACGTAGTCTTCTTGCTCGTTTCATCTTCATTGCACTTAAAATATAAGCATATAGGTCGTAATATGGCAGTGAGTGTTTGTACGCTCCAGGATTTGCCGAGCAGCTTCTGTCGATTTGTGGCCGACAAATTCTTCACGTCCGTATAATGTCGAGGGAAGCCGAAGATTTCCTCGAGCTCGGTGATCCATATCGTATCACTTTTACCCTTCATCATGATTGGTTTTAATTCTGCTTTTCCTAGAACAGAGAAATGGGGGAATTGAGTAGCGATCGCTTTCGATAAAAAGTACTCTGCAAGACGTAAAATTATACCTTGCAGCAAGGAACCCGTTCTCCCCGTGACCGTATGAAGCTTCTTGCAAAGAGCCTTCCGGTTCAAATTTGGCGTGAGCTTATCCTGAACGTCTTGCCGGCTTTCGAACAGCGGCATGTACGGATTAAAAGGAAGATTGTGCCAATAAAGTCTCAATCTGTGCTGGGGCGAAAAGTCCGCTGAATCTATGACATCGGGTTCCCGTCCTAAATTTCTGCAGTTAACGTAACAAGTTAATTTCGATGTAACCGTAATATTGCTCGTTGAATTGAAGTTAAAAGATATTTACTTATTAATTTCTAATCTGTACTCGGTCGGCATAGATGCGACATTCTCGAACAGCCAAAACATGTGCCGACCTTTGTTGGCCTTTTCTACCAGTTTCTTAATTCGACAGTACTCGAAAAATAGGACGCCCGTTCCTTTCGGATCTACGATCGCGAGAGTCGATTAAAATAAAATCATTATTGCTTGCAAAAATTAAAATAAATATATACACTGATTGTCGACAAGTACCATGGAGACCTAATCGCGCGGGATTGACCAGACTTAGGTCGTTGCATGGTGATCCGCCGATTAGCAAATCAATTGGTGCAATTTCTTGAATTTTCTCCTTCGTTATACCTCTTACGTCCCCTAGATAAGTAATACGATCGCCAAAGTGGGCGGAGCTAATCGTTAATGCATTTACATCAATTTCACTAGCGTAATAGACTTCCACGACGAGGCCCAATTTTTGAAGCACCAAGTAACCTATCGTGTTTAACATAAAAAAATAACATTTAAGACTGTCTTTCCAGCTTAAACGCTCGCGACAGCTTAATGCGAGCATTGAAAGAAAAAATAATTGTAAATTAAATTGCAAATTTGTCCTACCGGTGCTCAAGCCGTCGAAAAGCGACAGCACACGCACAGCTCTATTTTGCTTCTTACAACTTGCCACATCTACATTAGACGTGAGATTAGAGGTTCGGAACATTCTTGTGAATTTCTCCTTCCAATTTAACCGCGGACGCAATATCATATCCACCGGCTGCTTGTCTTCGTCTCTGCAGAGGAAGCACTCCCACGGGTCTTCCAACAGCATGTCGTCGTACGATTTTGGGCATATCAAAAATTTTATACAAGCTGTACAATAGACGCTGAAATGAACAATGCGTTAAACAATTATTGTGCCGACGCGACGGAAATTTCTATTTTGAGCGCGTATATGAACCAACCGTGGACAATCCTCCGAATCACAAACAAGAACGGTCCCGGTGCTGGCGCAAATTGTGCAATAAAACTGAAATCAAACGTGAAACGTGTTGCGACACAATCAATATTTCAATCTTTAAATATCCGCCGGAACAGCCGAATACTTACGCACTTGCCATCGTTCCCGAGCACGAACATACACGGTTTAAATTCATCCTGTAAAAAAAAAGAAAGAAAGAACGCTTGTTATTGTGGTAGAAAATAGCCGCGGTGATCATTATCTCTCTACGATCACTGCTAAAAATTTAATGGAAGGGCGTATCTTTTATCTCATACCGAGCAATCTTTACATAAGGATCCCACAAAGAATGGATGTTCCTCCTTTCTGCCCTTAGGAATTTTCAAACATTTTAAACACAATTTCTCCATATCGCATTCTCTCGACATTATGCGGCGAAGATCATCTACGATTTGACAAAAAAAAAAAGGAAAATAAAAAATTGATATTACAGAGCACCAATTTAAGATTTACACGCGGTTGCACAATCTAACTCACCACTCGCTTTTATATCACGTTTTCGTTCAGCGTCTACATCTGACTTGAACTTGAATTCGTTGATTTTTTTAATTATCTCGTTGGAATACTTATCATATATCCTGTTAGACTCTGAAACTTGCAATTGGTTATACGGTATATGAATATTATTTGAAAAATATTCAAAGACATTATCTAAAGTCCAGTTATCCGTGTGGCAGCCTAACCGTGAGCAATAATCCTAAAAAGTCAGATCCAAATGACGTGAAAGTTTTTTTGGAAACTTCTTACAGGAGAATATATTCGTCATATATGTAACACACATCGTGCATTCAAATAAATCATTTATAATGGCATTGTTATTTATTTCAGACGAATAATTTTAATTAAATTTTTTACCTTAGCGGCTTGAAGTACGCCTTCAAGATACATTTGTCTATTCGTATTTTGAATATACTCGCGCATCTTTTCTATTCCCTTGTGAAATTTTAAGAATTCTAAATGACGTACCTGTTAAATGCAAGGTATAAAATAATAATTTATTACATATATAAAAATCGAAAAGGGAACATTTGCTGCGCAAATGTTCTCTCTTTTTCGAATGTATTAAAACTGGTCACCTCTGAAACTTGGTAATCGCCATACCACATAATCCACTGACAACCGAAACTCGGTTCTTTCAAGCAGCAGTCGCGATAATCGATAATCATTGCTAAAAAAAAAAGGAAAAAATTCATCATACTTACGAGAAAGGATTAAGCAAATGTTGATGTAAAAAAAAAAAGTAAAAGAATGAAATACGCTTATACCGGGCCACCAACAGTGTCCAGGGATTTTTGCCCAGGCTATCACACCAGGCTGTTGGTTTTGCAAACATAAACGCTCATCATCGATCTGTTCCCAGCTTGTATTTACAATTTCTTTGTTTTTTTCCACGTTCTGCTTTTTCGCCGGTTGCTGCTCCGGTGAATCTGTACCGGGTATTAAATTAGCGTTTCAAGCAGCGCGCAAAAATTACAGATATATATATATATATATATATAAACAGTAACGTACCTTTCCTCGATACGTATCTCTTAGTAGCTTTGGCATTCTTTTCCCTCAGGACGTCCAGTCTTTCTTGTATGTTTTCCGGATATGGATAAAACGTTAGATCGTCCACTGTCACACCAAATAACTTTTGCATTTACTTGTAACGATTACGAAGGATAATTCTCGGAAGGATTTTGTGACTTACGTGTCTCCATGTCGGTTATGTTCCGTTGTATCCAATAATAATAAGGCTTTGTCAGAGTACAGTTGAAACGTTGGCGTAGTATCTAAAATAATTGTAACGGCACATCGCATTTTTCGAAGTTTTATTCCTTATGTAATTCTTATTGTCTTTAATTTTATTTCTCGAAGAGATATCAAAGAACCTGTATAGTCGCGTTAACGGCGCGCGTACGAATACTTTTACGAGACGGTTGCGACAATCGCTCCTCCAAGCTCCTCGAGAACGGCTGTATCTGTGTTTCTTCTTTGAGCTGAAATCACGTCAGAAATTACGTTTCATTGTCCTTTCCGTCAATGTAAAGATTTCTACATAGCTAGGAATCGCTAATTTACCAACGATATTTGCGCTTCCCCGATCCAGTAGACCCATGACTTGCCGGGCTGAGGAGCCATTCCTACATGCTCGGCATCGACAATCAGCGCTGTAATCATATCATATTTTTTATTTAAAAAAGGAAAAAAAGATAAAGGAAAAATTTCTTTTAGGAAAAAATAAAAATTATTTGAAATCAAATAATCGTTCTTTAATATCTAAGAGTAATCGCGCGCGCGACGAAAACGATCTCTAATTAGCCAAAAACATCAATGACGTCATAAAAATTAATTTTAATTTTCACAGTTAATTTTCACAGTGAAACTCACAATGCGTGCTCCATTTTGCGTACAACGCTCTGTAATCATTATCCTTAATTAATATATTTACCTGGCCACCATCCTGCAAAGAATCCCCATACTAGCTTGCCGGGGTGCAATTCTTGCTCTTTACAACTTTTAGTCTTTATCAGAGCTCTGGTCACTCTACGCGGACCACCTTCCTTTTTATCACTATCATGCTCCAAACCCTTGTCACGCGGGCATTGTCGCATTACATTTACTTTGCTACTAACTTTCATGTCTTTCGGTCTTCTACTTTGGACCTATATAAACATATTACCATTACATTCATATATGTACACATATAAAAATACATACATACGTGTATATATATATATTGAAAATAAGTGAATAAATTAATATGGCTTATGCAACGCAATATGTAGAGATAAAGTCAACAACGAGTAGACTCAAGATGTTGTAAAGTCACAATTTAATAATTTATTAATATGATAAAATTTAATAATAAAGATGATAAAAAAATATACATAATACTTATATTAATGTTGTAATTTATTATATTTATATAAACGTTTTGAAATGCCTACTCTCTGCCTGTTCTTTCTTTATTCTTATATAAAAAAAATTTACAATTTTATTTTTAACAAATTTGACGTGTCAATCTCATCAGCATATTGCGTTAATGAATATATAAATAATGATTCGCTCACTTTGACGTCATCGTCTTCGTCCTTGGCAATACTGCAGTACGATGCCGATCTCTTAATTACAGTTTTATTTTTATTTTTATACGTGATTACAGCTTCGTCACGTTGATTTACGAATCTCGTGTTCCCCATGTCCTCATCCGAATCGTAGAAGTAATTCGTTCCCGGGAAAGTATCTGACACTTCGCGATACTTGTAACACGTGCTATTCAACGTCTCCTGCTCGTCATCACATTTTTCGTCTTTTGTCGAATCGTCGTTAACGATCTTCAAAGCCAACAACAGCGCGCCATCAACAACTTCGTTACTCCATTCTTCAGTTGAGGATTCTAAGGTCGATCTGCGCCAGGACGAGTGGATCCCGTCGTTGTCGTCGTTGTCGTCGTTGTCGCTGCCGCTGTCCTCCGATCTCCAGCTCTCCTCCATGTTTATTTTTAAGAACGGCGTCGATCGCGGAGTATCGAAATCGATGCAATCGTGGAAAACGCTCCGATAAGCCGTCTGCGTTTTCTCGTCGAATTTGCAATCGATCGAATGCCTGTATCTCCTCTTACGGCGCCTGCCAACGGCGCTGACGTTCATCGATGACTCCTCGACGTTCGTCGAGTCGAATGATCGTTCCAAATCCTGGGACGACAAAGTCCGATCGTTAAGCTCGCTCTCGTCCGCCCAATCGTACTCCATGGAGACCGAGAGCCTTGAGTTCTGACTCAGATCCTTATCATTCGAGTTCTCGAGCACATCCCACCCAATTTCGGAAATAATCTTCTCAATACTGTTTATATTCGTAGTATTCTCAGTATTCTCAGTATTCCCAACGTCCTTCGCAGTTTTCGTGTTTATGCACTCTTGAATGTCCCGCATAATTGCGGCGGCCGTCTCCTTCGTGCTCCTCTTGCACGGGCAGACGGCGTTTGTGAAGTTGTGAGAACGTCGCCGCGTTTTACAATCGCAACGCTTTCGCGTCGCAGTTTCCTTCCCGGCGTCCGCACGCGCGTCCGCAGCGACGTCCACCCTTGAATTCGACTTGCTTTTCGGAGTTGCATTTTCCTTCGAATCGTGAGAAATTCGACGTCGATTCCAATGATTTTGCGCCGCGGAGTTGCGAGGCTTCTCCTTCTGTCCAACCGACCCTCTTCTTTTTTTCTTCGGCCTCTCGAAATAATCCTCACTGTTTCTCAAGTCCTTCTTTTTCGATGACGCTCTTCCGGTTCTATGCGGAACGCTACCGTTCTCGAGGATCTTCCGCGACGCGCGTCGTTCCGCAAATTTCGCGGACTTGGCGATTTGCGCGTTATCTTTGGAAACATCGGAGACCGACGTCACGTCCTCCGAGGTGTCGAGATCATTGTTCTCGACGCTGTTATCGATCGGCAGGACGTTCATGAAGTAATCAGGATATTCCGACAACTCCGCCCGATTTTGCGGATCTTCCTTCGCGTGACTCGGCGAATAGTATCTGGAGTACCCGGAACCGGAATAATCAGCCGGAGCGATCTCCTCCGAGTTCGTTTCCGATGTCGTTTGACTAATTACTTCGTCTTCTTCTTCGTCTTCGTCGTCATCGTCGTCGTCGTCGTCGTCGTCCTCGTTCTCGTCCTCGTCGTCCTCGTCCTCGTCCTCGCTCGATCTGTAACTCTCGGAAAAACGCTCGTCCACGTTGCGGACGGAAACGCGAGATCGTCTGGACGAAGAGTTCTTCCTCGCGGATAATCTCGCCGACCGATCGTGCGATACGCCGAGATCTTCTCGCCTGGATCCTCGGATGCCGCTCTTGGTCCAGAGATCCGCCGTTACGCCGTCGATTTTCGGACACGCGTCCCTCGGTTTCCTTTGCCGTTTCACCGACCATCTCGCTTTCCTCCTTCGCCTTCGGGCGGGCTTCGCACGGGTGATATGCTTAATTTGCGCCGGGTCGATGAACGGCCACGAGTTACCGAAGACGCTCGCGGACTTGGACGCATCGTCGTTCGTCTCGAGATCAGATTTCTCCGCGTTCTCGGTGGTGGGCAGAGAGTCCAGTTCTGAGCAACTCGCGATGACGACCTCTTTGAGGGAAGATTCGCGGAGCAGACCCAGATCTAAGGCGCAGGACAGGGCCCAAACGTTCGCTATCATGGATAATTTCGATGACCCTTTCCCACGTCGACTCGGTTTTTGGCTTAGTTCCTGAAATTCGTAATTAAAGATTAGAATCTAAGAAGAGACGCACAACCCCGATTTATTTTCGTATAACGCAATTTCAAGAAGATAACATTAAAGTATTAATAACATCGAGAATTTTCTGAAGAAATCATATTTCTTGTTGTTATAGAAATTATATTGCAATTACGTGCTTCAAAATATTTTGATACTTTGATATAAAATAATATTTATATTATTTTCAAGGACTATAAATATACATGTATGATATTCATTCTCCGATATTTAATTAAACCGATAAATTAATTTTACGAAACGATTGCGCATCGCCTTATTTATTGCGAAAAACAAATCTTATCTCTTGAAATTAAAAATCGTGTCGCTCATGATGGTTCACAATTAAGAGTGATCGAATGATCGCCGCGGGAGAATATGCGGCACGTGAAATTGCATCAGCGACGCAACACCGGAAGTGAGAGACGCGCGGACGGAGAGTCTCTCCATAATCCGGGATGTGTTTGCTTATTTCGTAATTACGAGAGAGTAAAGTGTATAAAGAAAATGTATTGGATCGCGTCGCATCCGTGAGCAGATTTCCCACGGGTAAACGTAACTCGCAACATTGACAGAGTCCTGGTGTCCCGGGGTGTGTGCGGGGAGGGAGTATCACGAAAGTTTCGCAGCTCTGGTGTCCCGTGTATGCGTACGTCTATATTTGTGTGTGTGTGTGTGTGTGTGTGTTGTGTGTGTGTATATATATGTATATGTGCAAAAATCTCGTCTGCTCAAAGAGGAACAAATTGAGGTCGCGGGCGCTTGATTAAAATTAAACCTAAATTAATCCCTCCTTCAGCCTTCTCCTCGCGGCCGCGCGTCGCCGCCCGCGGTAAACACGCGGTTTTCATATTACCGCGCCGTGTCGAAGAGGGTAGTCTCTCGAAACGAGAAGTAGTACTCTCGCGGCGAGACGAGAGCACGCTCTTGATCGCGGCGTAATATTCGCACACGGCGCAAACATTGCATTTATATCTCCCTTTGCCCTCGGTAGCTGCACGCACTTTCGTACTTGGCATGCGTACCCAGAGCCTCTCCGTCTCCCCCCCCCCTCTCTCTCTCTCTTTCGCAATACTTCCCGGAAGTCTACGAAGACCTGAATTAAGTATGAAGTCATAAGAAATGTAGATGCGCTACAAAATGAATGTCCGCTACGAAGTCGGCGCGCGCGCGCGACTCTCCTTATATTCGCCGACAATGCATTTTAGCGCATTAATCGCGACGGGCGCAGCGACGCGAATAATAACGCGAAAACGCGCGGACGTTAATAATTTCGCAGGCTACGTTTTCAACACGCAATTTAATATTTTATCCTTAGGTAGAGAAGATTAATTAAGCACTTAATACATGTGTTGATGTGTGTATGTGTGTATACATACATATATGTCAGTATTACGCAATTATCTTATTTCTCGAATTTTGCACTTCGAAATATTTGTATTTACGTACATTTATCTCCCGGGTCGCAAAAAAAAGGATTTTTTGGGGTAAATATATTTTTGCGGCCGCGTCTGGACTCGGATTTTTTTTTAAACTTTTGCTAAAGAATAGTCGACTCCGTATTTTTTCAGGGAACCCGTAAATATTTGATGCGTTAAAAGTGTAAGATTGCGTATACGCGACACACGTGTAATTCCACGTTCTATATATAACCGAAGTCAAGATAAAAAGTATCGCCGGAGACAAGAGAAGAAATCAAGCAATTTGCATAGGGCATAAATATTTCAATATCAGCGGGGCGGTGTAGCGCTCCCCCTTGAAAACCGCCTTTTACTCCACCCTACCATTTCTAAGGTAATTGCGGCGTGTCCGCGCCGCAATGTCTTATTTCAAATAGGCAATCGATAAAATAAAATATAAGCGAGCGTGGGAAAAATATTCCTGGCCTGCAGGAGGCTCCCGGCGCTCTGTTGAATCACACGATAATTGCGTTTATTGCCGATGTGCAAGAGGTGCCGTAGCTTCGCCGCGCGGTTGGAGCTCCCCGCGTGTTCGGCGACACCGACGTGAGCGGCGCTATTCTCGGCGGCGCGAAAACAAAGATAATTTGGACAACACGCGCGAGTTGCAGGCTGCGACCCGCATTCGAATCGCCCTTTAAATAGCGATCTGCCCCGCGCTCGGGGTGGCCGCGCGGAAGAAAGAGAAACGAGAGAGAGAGAGAGAGAGGACACGTGGCCGCACGTGGCATTTCTCTAAAACGCGCGTCTAGAGGCCGGTTCGCGCCGCACGGTTGACCTGTTGAATGGAAAAGCACGTCATTAGCAATTTTACGCGAGCGTAGGTACTTGACGGCTGTTCGGCTATGCCGATCGCCACTCCGTTATTTAATAAATGGCGCGTTAATCGCAGTAACATCACGTTTTGCGGTACGTTCCGCGTCATGTAAAAAAAAATCACGTCTATATAGCCGCCGACCGGACTTGATAAGCCGTAAGACATAGCCTCCACATTTCGTATTTCTTGCACATAGGTATATTCGCAGCTCGAAAAGAATCGCTTTTAATATTATTTCGTTAAAGAATCGGTAAAGAATTTATTTTCTCATTTCTCTCGGAATTGTGACGTTTTCCAGCTATTTCGTATAAAATATACTAAAGAGAACAGAACGCGTAAATTTCAGATATTATTTCCTTTCCCTGAACCTTTCATTGTCTGGTGATTAAGCACTTACAGATGTAAGCGTCAGTTGCCGGCGCACGCAATTCCCGTTACGTTCTCCGACACGCGCGACGGACGTTTCTGACTGCTCTTCCATTAATTGTCGAATTACGTTGCTGATTGCGGTACTAGAAGTGAAGAAATTTCAAGGAGCGCCAAATTGCGCAACCTAATCGGCCTCTTGGACTCGCGAATGCGGAAACAATCGCGAGGGAGGCGATAAATGGAATCGAGGTCGGCTGCGACGGCGTGGCGCGGCGGCGCGGTCGAGATCCCGAACCGCCCTTTAAATAGCCACGCGGAGGGTTGGCGAGGGCGTGAAAAAAAAAAGGGAAGAAGAGAGAAAAGACAAGAGAGCGTGAGAGACAGAGCGGGAGAGGCGATGCACATACACGCGCGCGTACACACGGTTCAGCGTGGCGCCTCCAAAGGCATTTCTCGAGGTCGCTCCACTCCGCCGGGGTCGACCTGATGAATGGAAACGTCGGTATTATTGTGTTTACACGCGGGACACACGGGTGCCTCTCTCGCCACACTTGGCGTGGAAACATTCCATTCATAAAGCGTTCCGCGCGTTCCTCTCACCGCCGCCGCGCCGCACACACCCCGCCGAAGTGCGGCCCCACACGTATGCACATGCATACACGCAGACACGCGGACCGGGGGAAGGGTACACGACCCTCTGCCTACCCGCGCCGGGGGTTGACACCAGTGACGTATTCAGAATTTCGTTGCCGCGCCCCCTCGGTGGGGTGGCCCGCCCCGAGATAATGCCGCGCCGAGATTTCCTCGGCTCGCGATAATATACCCGTCACCCTCCCTTACTTTCCGGGCCGAAAATAATTCCTCGCTCTATTACGCGGGAAAACGCGGGAGAGATTCTCGACGTGCCGCCGCCCTGCGTACGCGCGCGTCTATATATAGCGACGAGGAGACTTGATTATTGAGGACCGGCGAATTTCTGCTAACAATAAGTCGCTGCGATTGCAGTTGCTCCGATCGTTTGCTCTGACCGTGTCTATTCTCTTGCCTACTTGATCCACTTGTACATATTTATTTCTCGCGCGATGTCTTGTGTATACCGGATCGGAAATGAACAGAAAATTGTATAAGTACGAAGAGCATTTGTCATCATATTCAATCTATCACAATTAGTAAACGCAATGTACGTTTAAAATAACGTCTATAAAATAGTGACAAGTCATATTTATCGTCTCGTCTGCTTTGTGATACGTGTAAAACGTAATAAACGTTATTATTCTCAATATTATTATTTCCTCTTGATTTCTCCCTCTACGTTTATAATCTCTACTTATAATCGTAATATATTTTTAACTACACGGAGCTTTTTTTTCAAACTATTTCTCAACGCGAAGCACAAGAGAGAATACGCGAAACGCGAGATGGAAGGGTGTGAAATTCTCGCGGAGGGGGGAGGGGAGAGGGTGAGGAAGACCGGAGCGCGCAACCACTCTTCCACGTTACTCGTAACACATCGCGGTAATTTATAACGACAGGTGTTCCCGGGTCCACCTCCCGTCCCCTCGTCCACCATTACCGAGAAAAGGCGTCAACCATAACGCCGCCAGCCCTCTGGCTGGCGGTGGCAGCAAAGGAATGCTCTTTTTCGTCGCGTGCCTCTCAAGGTCTTTAAACTGAATGGTCACACGCGTGCGATCCTGTCGCTTCCCCCCTTTCGCCTCTTTCCGCACGCGCGTCCGGTGCGCCGAAAAGCGGCGTCAAAATTGTGAAACGCGACTCGCATTCCCGGCCGATCGAGTGTCGTCTGAACTAGGACTGCTTTGCATTCTGTGAATTTTCATAGGATTTGAATATTCGCGGAGTACGTAATGCTCGAAATATATTTCGCCGAATATACATCATAAAATTCCAATATTTGCGAAATATAATTTAAATTAGATATATATTTGGCATATTTTAAATTTTGCGATATCGACATGTGTGTATGTATGTATGTCTGTCGAAAATATCAAGGATTCTTTCAATGCTTTAGACATCAATGGAACGTAACTCGAGTATTTGAGCGCGATGGAGATTCAGACATTCATTGACCAAAATCCGAAAATACTGGAACAGAAAGACTAGTATTTATATTTAATATATTTCTCAAATATTAATTCGGATATTTGAAGAAGCCGACTCTCAATTATTCGTTCAATCTGAATGTAATCTGGATTTGTCGGGGGAGGGGGAGGGGGGAGGTCGTCGGGGGAAAATTGTTCTGACGGCCTGAGAGAAATAGTTTATAAAATCTCGTAAGTCCTCCATTCGAAAGCCAATTAAAAGCGCGC